TAATAGTATTATTATTAGTGGTTGTATATATGCTAAAAACTATAATAGTCTCATTAAGGGTATATAAATTATTTGAAGTTTAATTTGGGAAATGTTTTTTATAATTTTAAAATATTATTTATTAATTATTGATAGTCTGATTTATTTTTTAGTGCAGGGGCTCCCAGAAGGCCTGTCAAATGCATCGGTTTCATGGCGGTCCCCAAGTCCCAGTCGAAGTCCCGGTCCCAGACATTGCGTGTGCACCGTGGCTGCAACTTCAACACCTTCGAAAGGGGCATCATCATTACCATCATCATCGATAAAAGGCATTTGCAAGCGCATTGCATACAAACTGTTTGCTAAATTTATTTATATGTAATGTTCTCGCTCATGCATATTTAATGTCCACGCATTTTCCTCCTGTTCCCGGAGCGAAGAAACCCAAGGAGTAAAAGATAAAATGCAGTTGCCGTTGGCTTTCCGACCTCAACCCCGGGATCTCCATCTCCTCCAGCTTGGCCAACAAGTAGCTGCTGTTGCTCCGCTGGTATCTGCATTTGGGCTTCTGGTTTGTTGGCCAGAACGGTTAGCTGTTTTCGCCTTGTTCTTCTCGTGTAGCGGTTGTCAGCCATCAACGTGGTTAACATCGATTTCTGGCTCTGATTTGGTGTTATTTGGCTCGTTTGGTAGTATTTACTGCTTAGTCACGGCAAAATGGGATTAGTAAAGGACATTTGGAAGCGAAATTAATATTAAACAAGAAAGAAAAGCTAACTTCAGGCGGAGCCGAAGTTGATATACCCTTGCAGAATATTCTGTAAATTATATTGGTTGACCATAAAACCCATGAAAAATCCCAACTTTACAAAAACCAAAGTTGTGGCATTTCCAATCGTTCAGTTATATGGCAGCTATCGGATATAGTCGGCCATAACTTTACCAATTATAATCCGATTTCAAAGTGGCATACCTCTAAAGACTTGTGGTTGGATTCTCTAAAAATCTGCATTCAAAATTTTCATTTTAGCGTTGACCGACTTTTTGACTCATTTTCATGTTGGTTATTTCTAAGTTTCCTATGAGTTACCCAAAGGTGACCCACAATTGGACTCCTAGATTCCATAACTTTACCAAATATAATCCGATTTCAAAGTGGCATACCTCTAAAGACTTGTTGTTGGATTCTCTAAAAATCTGCATTACAAATTTTCATTTTAGCGTCGACCGACTTTTTGACCCATTTTCATGTTGGTTATTTCTAAGTTTCCGATGAGTTACCCAAAGGTGACCCACAATTGGACTCCTAGATTCCATAACTTTACCAAATATAATCCGATTTCAAAGTGGCATACCTCTAAAGACTTGTTGTTGGATTCTCTAAAAATCTGCATTCAAAATTTTCATTTTAGCGTTGACCGACTTTTTGACCCATTTTCATGTTGGTTATTTCTAAGTTTCCGATAAGTTGCCCAAAGGTGACCCACAATGGGATATATAAATAATATTTAACATTTCATTTATCATTAATATGTGTTATTAGGTTCATATTAAACTATTGTATGCATTATGTTTTCTTTTATTGTTTGAGTTAAATATAAAAGAAACTTCCATAACATTTTTGTAAGAAACAAAGGGATCACAGACAAAACAAGCTATATTTAAATTCTTAAAAAAAATCGAAGTAATAAACAAATTTTAATTCGGTGTATGAACTGTATAGGTAAATATATAAATAAGGTTAATAATCAATTTTGTAAAGATTGAAAAACAATACTCAACAATGTAGTTTACGTAAAATATTTACATAATAATTTTAAAGTTTGTGTATAAGGAATACAAATGGCGGATTAACCATTCGCCACGTTGAATGGCTGTTGCTTGTCGCTCGCTTTTTCACATGGGAGACATAACGACTTGTACTTTCAACATCTCAATGCTCGAATCTAAAACTCGCACTCCCGTATCACCCCCCATGCGAGTATATAGGAAAGTGTTCCAGAGGCTCATAAATCAAAATGACATGACCAACTCTCGGCATTAATATTTCAACACCATAAATGCGGCGTCAATTCGCACATGGGAGATGGCTGAAGGAGACGACGACGTGACAGGGACATGCACAACGATGTCTGCAAAATTGTGTGCATAATAAATAAATATGAAAGGCCTTCATCATGATCGCTCATCACACCCAAACTCCGACTCCGAATCCGACCCCAACCCAATGCCCAACCCCAGTCGATTCCAAAGTGCAGCTCACTCCTGGCATCAAATCAAATCAAGACAAGCGTCCAAACATGCAACATGAGCGGTGAACCGACCAAAACCAGACCAACAGAGACACGCTCGACTAATTATGGAAATGTCATCAGACGTTGATAGTTTTCTGTGAGGTCTCCTCAACCTCCAACCGCCAAAATGGAATGGAAAAATACATGCATTTAGTGCGCGCAATTTGCTTGCAATGCCTCGACACATGCGACAATTTCAAGCAGCACTTGGATGGCAATTTATTAAACTCGTGCAACTTCTTTTCTCCTCTTTCTTATTTGGTTGAAGAAATTAAAATTTTGTTGAGCGGGATTGGGGATATGGTGACGACAGACACTGGTTAAGACAGCCAGCGACGCCTCTGAAGTGACAAAAGTTCAGATCGTGGGTGGCAAAGTCAGACAAGACGGTGGCGTTGCCTCCATGCACAATGATATATGGTTTTGTCGGCTGTCATTTGGTTTTGAAAATTATTGTTGTGGCCTGCACTTTGGGTTTGGGTGTCTTTTGTTCATACTCTGTGCGGGCTGTGGGTATGAGCCACTGCACTATTGCCACTGCCCGCTGGTAGATATAAACGGTTAGTTGGTCAAAATATGGGCTCTCTCACAAGACGGTAAATAAAATTATTTATACAAATTGGAGTATAAATTGTACCATTTTAAGCATAGATTTTATACTCTTTTTCCAAGTCAAGACAATGAAGCTAAAGAATTCGCGAATTTTGTTTTGCCGCTTAAAAGTGTTCATCCATAAAAATTTTCTTAAATTTAAATGTAATTTTTAAGAGCTTTATAACTTGAATAAACATATCTATTTTGGTGACTGAAAAGTGGAACAAAAAAACAGTATCTCATATTCGTTTAGCATATCTTTCGGTTAAGTGTTTAGCATTCTGTTGTTTTTTCTTTCATTTGTCTGGCTGCCATGCTGCTGCTGCAATCGTAAATTTCAGTGAATTACGATTTTACCTGCTTTCGCACAGTGCCAGCATGTCTGCATTAAATATGCAGTCAACACTTATCACGAGCGAAGTATAGTCCAACAAGTCGACGATTTTAATGGCCGCCAAGATGGTGGGGCACTGACTAAGTACGATCACAACACCCCAAGTACAGTGAACACTCGCATCAGGAGGTACACACACATACATATATTCATATATCTGGTGCGGGGCTTTCTTTTCCAATTGGCTACCTTAACAATTTACATGCTGGCCCCCAAACTAACCAAAAGGACAGTCATATTTTATTCGAGCTTCTCTTCGTTTTCGGTTTTTCTTTATGGTTTTATTGTTGCCTCGCGTTGTAATATTTTTGTATCTTTTGGCGATTTTTCATCTCCATTATTTTGCAGGAAAAATAAATTTGCAAACGGTAGAAGAAATATTTTCACAAAATCCCCAACCAATAAATTTCATTCACCCACCCATTCCCTAGTGCCGTTTTCTCCTCTTTCTCCGCGAGCTTGGGTGACAAGTCCAGCCTGGTCGAATGGGTTTTTGGTGGGTGGTGGTATGGTGGCACGGTGCGGGGGCACCTGCCTCCAATGATAAATGGTCGCGGCTAGAGGGAACTATAATGGCCAGCGCGATGGCGGTGGCTTTCACCTGCGATGTGGTATGAAACAAAATAAAACAAGAATCGGAAAGGAGTATTGCCGGGGAGAGCAGGGCGAGATCTTCATCCTCGGCTTGTCAAAAGCACTGAACGTGAACATCACTTATATATAAGGTCCATACCCCATACGATACCCATTTCCAGTTGCCCCTCTTCCCCCAGAACGATTCTCGGCTATATGTGGCGAAATGGACATTTATGAAAGAATTATTGATGCCAACGCCAATATGTATGTGTGTTTGTGTGTGGGTGGGAGGTTTATGGCATATTTTTTATGACTTCCATAGAGGGACAGAGAGATGGTGACCAGAGTCGGAGTCTGAACCATGGCCTGGCCAGGTCAGAGGGTGTTCCCCGGCCCGTTCTACCGCCGTATAATACAATAAATTGTCAGGTAGGGCGGCTAGCTGTCAAAATGCAGGGGCATAACTCTCTCCAAGCCTCTCCCCTCCCCTTCCACCACCAACCATCTATGGCAAAAACGAAAATTTTAATTTATCGACGCCATATGTGGGCAGTGAGCAGAGGAACTATTGCCAGTCAACTGTGCCCATGCCCCTTAAGTTTCACCCACTACCCACTTTCCACCTCGACTTCTTTTTGGGGAAATATAAAATTTGATTTACTGCCATTTCGTGTGTGTGCGGGAGCAGTAGCTGTTCCAGTAGCTAGCCTGGTATAATTTAGCGGCAAACGTAACCGAAATGTTATGATTTGTGAGCCAATGGATACGTATACATATATTTTTTCGGTTCCTCGCTCAGTCTTGTTTGCCTTTTGGCCATGACTTAAAGCTTTTCCGATACGGTTTTAGGCATCTGGTTTGGTCTCAAGCCAACTGCTTGTGACAGTTTTCCCTGAAAAATGAACAGGAAGTAAAGGAAAGTGGAGATTGAACTTTTAATACGAGATAATTGTTGGATTTCGAGCTTGGTGATTTTGTTTCAAATTGGGTACAAATTGGTCAAGAGAGACCATAGAAAACAAGTTATTTAGATTATTAGGAATACTTTTAGTACGAGATAATTTTCGAACTTCTATCTTATTGTATTTCATTTATACCTCGAACTTTTCCTAATCCCATTGCAAAAGTATAAAAGAGAAAAACGGTTTTGGTATTTAATTTTCTTTGATTTATTGATTTCTTTGTAGTGACTTAAGTGAACATTAAAATATTGTTCATAATTACACATTTATGTATAGGTATGTATAGAATTAATTATAAGCAGATACTCATATACTTTACAAGAATTTTTACAACTTTAAGTTTTTGGACAATCTTTTCATTTCGTTAATTCTGTAATCGTTTCGCTTGAATATAATAAATAATATTACAATTACCATATGCGTTTAGTAGCAACCACGAAACACACACAGACACACAAGGACGAGCGATATTTGATGTGCTGCACTATATCATCGATATTCAGATATATATATATACTAATATCTAGACGCTAGACTCCTTAAGCTAAATTGTAAACACATTTGTATGTAACTACAGTACATTAGATCACTAGCTTTTCGTTTCACGAGTGAGTCATATACACCAAAAAAACACATAGAGATACGACGACGACTCAAGAGAAATGATGGTTTTGACTGAAGGCCGAACCTCTCCTCGCAGGATCCTCGGTCTACTATGGATGCGACGATCCCATCCGGGGTCCGTATAACGAGTAGGGCGCAAAGTACTGGGCCAGGGCCGGATGCGGGGGTAGGCCGGGCATTCCGGGGGGCGCCAATGAGGGCGGCAGCATCGACGGCTTTCCATACGGATGATAGCGGGCCGCCGACAGCGGACTCAGCGGGGGGTGGGGTAGGTGCGCTGGAACAGCGGATGATTGGGCGGTATCCCGCCGGCGGCCGCTGCACTCAGTACCGCATCCGGCACGGAGGCCGTGTGGGTGCGCAGATGCTGGAACAGGTCGTCGGAGGTGCCGAACCGCTTGCCACAATAGGCGGCATCGCTGCCGATCCACGAGCACACGTACGGCATTTGGGAGGCGGCGGCCAGAGCGGCCAACTGGGCGTGGTACGAGGAGGCAGCCGCCGCCGCCGCCGCTGCCGCCGAGGATCCCGCTCCACTCTGAGAGGACTTCCCTGCCCCACCTCCACCACCACCCCCGCTCGCCTCGCACTGCGGACATCCCGCCGGACACGGCTGACCCGCCGCCTTGTTGATGTAGTGCGGACTGGCCGGACAGCCCGTGCAGTAGGGATCGCGGCACACATTGGGCGTGGCCGCCATCATCGACTGCTCCGTGAGGCCCTTCATCCGGGCGTAGTTCAGATACGGATTCATCGCCGACGCCTTGAACATCGCGTGGTGCGGCGACATCAGGGAACTGGCCGTCATCAAGTCCATGGAATAGGGGCTACCGTAACCTGCAATGGAATTGTCGAGAAACTAGTTAGTAAACAATCTTGGAAAAATAATGAAAAATAATAATTCCTATCTAAAGAACCAATTTTCATATAAGTTGCCAAAAAGTTGTTAAGGATCAACACTTACGGAAGCCTTGTCAAATGTTTAAACATAATATGTATATTATTCTATTCTAGCATAGGACGAGAATTCCACAAAAAAAAATTGTTCAAAAAGTGCAAAAATTATTATAACAGGCATCAGTAATTTCGGCTTAAAAGTATTAAACTTGATTCTTACAATTTCAAAAGTTCCCAACATTTTTATTTTAGACAACTTTTATTTGTGTATTTGCTAGGTCATAAATAGGTTTACAAATAAGTAAACTTGGCTCTTGTTGTATTTTTTATAATCTTAAAAGATCCGAGCTTAGATATTTGAGAAACTTAACCTTTTTTGCGTATATGTTAAGACCATAAATAAGTTACGAAGAAAGAAAATGAAATTCAAAGTTATAGAAGAGCTTAAATTGTGAAATTGTTATATCTGCATTTCAAAAACAACAGAAAATGCCCTAATACTTCTGTAAGAGGCTTACTACTGGGTGTATATAGTAGGTATACTAAAGTGAGTAGTTCCTACCTAATCCCCTCCATTCCGAAAATGCATTTGCATTAGGCAATTGCTCTGCAATTTCTGTTTGCACTCACCGGGGGGATAGTAGGATGCGGATGCGGATCCCTGTTGGCTGGCCGCGTGCAGGGCCTTCACATAGCTGGCCTCCTTGGCGGCGGCCAACGCGGCCTCCTGCAGGCGATTTGAGCTGGCGATTTGGGCCGCCGCCGCCGCCGCTGCCGCTGCACTGGGACTGTGCATGGCGGCCGACTCTTTGGAACTGCTGCGGCCGGGCGTCGAGGAGGAGTTGGGCGGCAGGCTCAAGCCGGGACTTCCATTCAGCTGGGCGCCCATTCCCGAGGTGGGGGTCCTCCTAAGACTACCAGCAGCTGTGGGCGATTCTCGCTGTGAGCTGGCACTTTGGTTTGAATCGCAACGCTGCCCACCACCGCCTCCATTCGATGTCGTTTTGGGGGTCCGCACCCTCTGTCCACTGGTGTTACTGCTACTGAGATTTGTGGCGCCGCAATCGGCGGCTGTGGTGATATTGCTGATGTTGTTGTTGGGCTCGTAGGGCTTAAAGGTTGTCGGGGTCGGCTTGCTGCCGTGGGCGGGGGGCAGCTGCTGTTGCTCCACGGAGCCGGTGCTAACGCTGGATGAATGACTGCTAACCGGCGAGGATTTATCGCGTGCACTGCCATCCGTTGATATCTGCTGGCCCAGGCCGAAGGATCCGCCACCTCCGCCTCCGCCGCCATTGGATCCCTTGGGCTGGTGCTGCAGTTGCTTTGTGGACTTCTCGATGTTCGCCGCCAGCAGCTTGGGGTTTGTGGTATCCGCTCCGATGGCGCTGCATGTTTGAGCCAATAGCGCCAACGGACTGCTTTTGTTGTCCAGCTGCTGGGCAAAACCAAGAAGAAAAAAACAAGAAAAATAGGGATATCAGTACACTGCGTTTGTCTGGCAATATCGTGCGTTTTGTGCATCGCCGATAAGATCTCGTCCTTATTGTCTTTGCCTCTACTTTGTTCGGCAAACACTTCTTTGTCGACTCTGTTCCAGATCTTTATCTTTCGCCACAAAACTGGTGCGATCTTGAAATACTCGTGCAACTCGATTTCTTGCCCTTTTTGGGCGACATAAATAACAGGCCCATGGCTATAAATATTTATAATCCCACAACAAAATAAAGGGAATTATGAGGCCATTAAAAATGTTTGCCAAAAAAAGTCGAACGGAAAGATATAGAAACACATTTATTTAACGATGCCAATGTGGTGCTGAATAAAATCTAACTACACCCTAGGGAGTGGTTGTTTGTTTGGTTTGAGGGCACATCAAAAAAATAAGGGCGTATCGTGAAGTTGACATATTTTGTGAAATAACTTTTAATTTGTATACAAAAAAATATATTTCCGTAACGAAATTGACTTTGAATTCGATTCCGAACTTCAACTGTTCTGCTAATCATGAAATGAAATCATCGCTTAATCGATTAGCTAATCCATCTTACTTCTTTTCTATAATTATATGCAGAGCTCATATTAATAAAATTTAATCATGCTTCATCGGATTTTATGGCCATTTCCAATTGAGCAATTAGGCTAATGAAATTATTAGCCATTTGAGATATATTGAGCAATAAACAAGTGCCAAAGTTATGTGTGTGGTGGTGGTAATGTACTACGAATGGGGTTGAGTTTGAGAGGTTAAATAAAACACTATAGAAATTAGACGGAAATTTTCCAAAAAACCATCGATTTTATTTGATAAAATATGAGTTTTTTTTTGACTTGAAACAGAGTACAATTATTAATTTATTTTTTAAATACTTAGACTCACAATAAATTAGAAAGCAATTTAGAATGTTGAGGTAAAAATGGTTTTACTACCCCGCTGTCCATAATTTTGATGACTTTATGCTTATTGCTTATCAATTGAGGGCTTCGTATTGTGATTATATGGGAACTTTCAGCCATTCTAAATATAGTAGGCTTATAAATGCGATCGTATATATCAGCATTCAGAGCTGTAGGAGTGAAAATTACCGATTGAGTAGTACAAAGGGGGATCGAACGAGTGCCGACATACAAGCTGAAATTGTAGTCGATCGTAGTTATAAGTACACATAAACGAAATGAATATTGCCCACTCACAGTTTGTGCCATAAACACGAAACACGGTTTTTGCAATAAAATCCATTTCGCCGCATGCCATAAATTATGGCCAGAAGAAGAAGAAGAAGAATAAGCGGAAAGGGAAAACCCGAAACTGAGGCGAGAGTTGAACGTTCATAACTCATCGCCCAACTACAATATACACACACACACAAGCACACACACAGCCACATCGAAAATAATGACGTACACTTTGTGTGTATGTATGCGAGCGTAATTACGCTTATGCCCAACTGGCGCAAGTCGTAAACTACAAAATATTGAAGCTTTTATAACACTCAATGGGCCGCCATAAATTATTATGATACTATTGTAAAAATGGCAAAATTTCTTATCGGTACTTAAGAGTACTTTGGATGCCCTGTAATCAGAGTGCTTGTGTGTGCACATAAAATAAGTAACATTAATTTTGTAAAGGGTAATGTTTAATGGTTCCTTTTCATAAGTTACGTCTTTTAAGCTCAATAGGAAAGGTATTGTCCTTAAAATTAAAATTGAACTCTTGTTTTAATAAATAAATAATTATTTAATTTGTTTAAAATATGATTACTATGATTTTATAACTTTTAAATATTTAATTTAATTTTGAAAGTTTTATAATAAATTTGGCTTATGTACCAATTTCAATATTTTATTTAATGGTCGATCGGTTGCTTCAAAAGTTTCCATTAAGTGCAATAAACGCTCAGGTTAAAATTATCTCTTTGTAAAATAAAATGTATCTTGTAAAATATACATTTTAAATGTTTTCTTCAAATCTATACCTCCCTTCAAATAATAAATACAGTGTATAGCCTTAGTCAACCGACAATCAGGCCCCTTCATATTTATTCGATTTGAATTTGTGTGGATATGCCCAGCAAACCCCCTCAAATCCCTCCCCGCATCAACACTTTATTAATTATTGGCGCAAACAGAGGGGCGGGCAGAACTCACCCCATTTCGTCTCGTTTTTAGCACAATTAGTCATAATTTATTATCATGTTGATAAAGTTTCCGTATTGATTTTCGGTATTACGCATATTCGTGTCGCACATTTTGTGTTTTGTTTGTGATTTAGTTTATAAATATTTCCCAACCCCAGCCGTATGAACGTGCGTATGTACATGTGTGCAGATAGAATGAGCCATATGGGGCTTGTTTAATTTACGATTGGACAATAGCTTCATAAAACGTAGATATATTTTATTTATATATGAGAACGTCAATTGACTTGTGCGAAGCGAAATGGAATTATTACTCTGTCTCTGACCTGTTCATATAATAATTGAGGCCAAGTTGGGGGTAATTACACAAATCAACTTCCACTGTAGTGTAACTTAGCCTATCAAAAATGTTTACTATGCAGTATTGAATGTTTTTTTATGGACATGCTAAAATTTGAGAATATATAACTATGAAAAACACGTATTTTTAACACTTAATTAGCTCCTAAAAGTCAATGGAAAATAAAAAAAACGAAAAAAACGTAATACGTATAAATTATGAGTTTTGTGATAATTAAAATGTTACACCTTGTGAAAAATGTGTATACAAAACATCGACACTAACAAGGTAAGCAAACAACAGCCTGAGTACGGCAATAAAAACAAGTGACTACGACAACAACAGTAGTCATGGCTGAGCAAGTTGGAAATGAAACCTCAACTGAAATGCATTTAGTTATGCCTTTGCACAATCAAGTCACAGCCGCTTGTTAAATGCGTATAATTTAATTAGACACTTTGAACTAAACACACTCAGCTGTCATGATTTGATTTGATTTATTATCGTTTGTGTACATATTTTTAATGCTAATTTTATTTTAAAGGTGTGTGAAGTTCGGCATAGATGTGTGGGAATGATGTGTGACACCAGACCTGTATTTTAGTTAGAAAATGGCGTTTCCATAAATGCCCTAATTAAATAAAGAGTTTTTTAAAAACCTAGCGATCCGGTAAGATCTTAACCATAACAATCATTCATCATCAGGCTGTTAAAGTTATTTGCTTAACATTTCACACAAGTGTCACAAGCAAATGCCTCAAGTATTATACAAATTAACAAGAAAAGCTAAATGTGTCAAACTATTTTATAGTGCCCTAAGCTACTTCCCCGCCAGCCCCTTGAATACACTCAACATTTGAGAAGTATGACACATCGACATACTTAAGTCATCATCGCACATAGACTTGAAACAATAAAAGAGTCTTTGGTAAATAAAAATAAAGTAAATTATAAACAAATAAAAGCGGCACGCGAAGCTTTTGGGTTGTGCAAGGGAAGAGGTCGAAGGGAAAGAGTGTGGCTCACGCACTTGAAGGGCCCTTGAAAAATCATACTTTATGTTAATATGACAAACAAAATGTTGAAACTTTGTATGTTTCGTTTTTCTTATTCGTGAAACAGTGACATGACAGCCAAGTTTAATTCGAGGTGGAATGAGGAGGGTCATACAACGTAAGTTGGTAACAGACAAGCTGAATTGTTGACTTTGGCTTGTTGCTTCTCAAATTGAAACTTTTGATCGATTCACTTTTGAAGCTTTGCCGAAAGGTGTTGCTTTTTGTAGGGTATTGTGATTTGGTTGGAAATAAGTATACTTGAATCGTTTTCAAGCGATTTATTTTCGGTAAAATTAAAGTAAAGTAGCATACATATCTGGTTACTTATATGGATTGTAAAATATTTGATTTATTTGCCAGTCAACAGCAATAAAAGTTATCTATAATGGACTTTGAGATCTAGCCAGCCGCCACTTCTCTTTCTTCTTGTGGTACCACATTTTGCTGGCAATATTTTGTAAAATGCAATTTTCAAGATTCTGCGGCTCAGGAAATTTCTTTCCCTCGCACACATTACGATACAGAAATAGCTGCTATAAATATGAATTACAGGATAAGCATAAAAAGCGGAAATTGTGTGCCGCCGCCTTCGTCGACGACGCTTTGCATAAGCCAAAGGCAACGTCTTTAGCAGACCTTTCCCCCAAACCCATACTAAAATCCATACCCAACCCAACCCCTGACTCAGTTTTTTAAGACGCCCTTGCAGTTTTGCTGCGGAATTATAAAATAAGCGATAAAAATGGTATAAAACTTTATGCAGACTTTGTATTTTCTTCTCTTTCTGGCAATGGCCCCTTCCCTTTCTGGCCCACATCGTGTATGCCCAAGACCCTGACACCGGGAGTGGGTACTCTGTCGTTATACATATTATGCATGTATATTATATCATTCAGCCTGTTAACACCTTTTTGTATACGCTTACTTATATACATTCTTTTTTTTCGTTTGGGTGATAATAAATTTTGCTTGCCTTGGTAAAAGAAGAACAAATATAAATGTATGAGGAAAATTTGCATAAATGGCTATAAAAATATTAAGGGCTTTTGGGCCCAAGTTGAATTAAATGATTCATCAAGAGCTGTGATATTGTGGGTAGGGCAGTAAAAATTGTGAGATATGTGAAAATTAGTCGCTTCCTTATTATTAAACTCGAAAGAAAACTAAAAGAATGGGAAGTAGAACTCTTAAATAATTAAAGTAAGTAAGTAATAACTCCTGTTTAATAATTAATCACAATTTATAATAAAGTAATAATACTTAGTCCCTAAAAGGTCTTTTCATAAAGAATTGATTTGTCATAAAACGAAAACTGTCATTTCCTGGGATTTTCTAGTTTTCAGGGTGGTATAGCCCCTTAAGGAATCAAAGCACACGCCAAAGGTCATAAATGGTT